TGGCCCGATAGGTAATAACAATATAGAACAAAATATGGATAATATTTGTTTATTAAGTCTAGACTTATTATTATAAATTTAAACGTCAAAGAACTATTGAGGATCAAGTCTGTAATTTATCATAGTTTTTGTCGACTACAATGAATAGACCTACTTGTGTATTCAGAAATTAATAACTGTTATCTTTATGTTTGCATCTTTTTGGTAGCCCAAATATATTCATCATGATTAATAAAAACAAAAAATATACAAAATATATTTAAGTGTAACTATAGATACTTATTCAAAAAAGTTATTTTGTGTTTATTGTCTAGTTATTATTGGAGTAAAATGTCAGAAGTCATAGATTTCTGTTATTTATAGATTGTTTGATAAAGCCAAAGGGCTGACAGTAACACAGCCGGAGTCGGTCGACACCAAAGGCCGTCTGCTTGGGTGGTCCAGTCAAACCAAGTGTACACGCACTCGCCTAATTACGGCTCATGTTATAACGTACCTACTACAAAGTGTTCCAACTCTCTCAATTTCTAATCAACTGCGAGATTAGATACCTTTGAGGTTGTGATTAAATGGTAACAACTCTATATGAATTAAATGCTGCGAGGATTATTTGTAAGGAAGAAACGAGGGCAGGTCATTGCGGTCATCCACATTTTTTATTTGTGCAATTCTAATCTGCAAAACAATTTGTTGAAAGTAAGTCCTGCCTAGCTAGATTTCAGAATGGACGATAAATGTGAACAGTTAGGTACGTGTAGTTATCTGTAAGTATACGTCTGGGCCTGGGATACTGATTAAGATCGTGGACAAGTTCACCGGAAGGACTTGGTTCGAAGTGCAGACAATACGCGGGTATTCGTACGGCGAGCACATCCTCACTGCTGAGATAGTGTTTGTAATTAGAGAAGAGTCGGGTGCGGGTGTCGGCGCGCGGCGGCAGGGTTAACGCGACGCTATCGCACCATCCGGCGCCTGCGCACCTCCTATCATGTGAGAGATCAAGCGACGGGGCGCGCGTACTTCTTCGCTGCCAGTTTCAACTAACGTAATATTAATAAAACAAATGTGTGTACAGATGTTCTTGAGAAAAGGTTTTATGAGAACACCTTTAGCTGACATTATATTTTGTCTTTTTATACTTAAAGGTGAATATTAAAAATGGACGAGTATGACATATTAAGTTAAAGGGTATAGCTAGATTTCAATACTAAACTCAGCGAGATTATAATCACCGCTGCGATAATATAATTAGGTGAGCATGATAGATAGCTGGTGCATATAGCATCGCTCGAGGGTGGTTCGTCAGTTACGGTGTGGTGTTTCGCGATGCGGCCGAGTGGTATCAATGCGGTGTGCGGTAACTGTTGATAATTAAGAGTGGTCGTTTAATGGCCGTTGACGGTAACGGCGCGAGTGCCGGTCCGCGCTGCTTCCGCGCTACGCCCACTGACAAGCGACGCGAGTCCTCCGCCGTCGCATTCGCATCGTCAATGTATGATTACCTATATCAGATTGCATTGCATTTGTCATTTATAGATATGTTATGTTAAATATTTTAACAGACTTTACATGTAATATCTCTCTTTCCTCATACATTGATTTTATGCATAGATAGAGTTTATATATACAATAGACGCCTCTAGTATTTCGTCTAAACTAATATAAAACAGTGCAGTGTGCACTGTTTTCTCCTAGCACTCGATTTGTTTATTTGATATTTGTCTATGCGAATAAATACAAGATGATATTTGTTAGAAAACAGGTAACAAAAGGAACACATAGTGTTGGCGGGCCCACGCCTGTTTGGGTCCGCGGCACCGAGCTCCGCGGCATGGTATCCACACGATTGTATTTCAGGTATGTTGAGTTGAGTTATCGCCGCTCGTCCGTCGGGGCCTTTGCCTTCACGCGGCGCTTCCGCGACCGTCGCGTGTCGCCGCCGATATGACCATGACGCCCGCGGTCCTTTTGATAATGCTAATGTTTCTACGATAGCCTCGTGATACCAGGATCACATACAATGACCGCACCGGCTAAATGGGCATCAACCGAAGTCTGCGGATTCCGATGTGCTTGAATATTTTCCATCGATAGAAAGATATTCATTTCAAAAGATTAAAACAATTATGGTAAAATCTTGCGATCCTTTATGTGCAATGTGATGTTATAAATTAATGTATTGATAAACATAATGTATGAGTAATATATTCTCTAAATCAATTTACAATCTTTAAATAATAAGTTAGCACTTATCGTTAAGCGAGTGAGTGGTGAATTCATCCCAATAGCATCGAGTTGCGGCATTGCGTTGTTGAACAATCGGTCGTAAAGTGACAATTCAACATTTTACAGTATTCGTTTGCAGTCAAAGAATCTTAAGTGGGTGTGTCGTGTCGTAAACAAGCATTTGTATGACTATGTATTAGCGAAATGTTCCGAAAGTCGATAATTATATGGCTAGCTTGCTGACTTTGTGTTTGGGCGTAGTTCGCTTTGTATGTTGGGTACCGGCTTTAATTAACATTCGTACTAACGCTTCCTTAGAAGAATCATTCGGAGAAATGAGGATTTATTTTCAATATGCGTAAATGGAATTCAACTTCATCTTAAGCATTGTCATTATAATTTTATTTCATAATATCTATAAAATACGAATCCACAATACGTGATCTCAGAAATGGACAAAGCATGCAAATGAGGTCACGCTTCTTTTAATACTATTTCAAATTTATATAAAATAAATATCACAAATATAAATCTTGGTCGTTTGATATTGATTTAGTTGCACTATCCGCATTCCAACTTTTTTTTATAATTTGCCATAAAATTAAATGCCAAAAGATGACGAGAACGATCCCATCACGAAATATAATTATAATTATCGGGAACGCAACAAGAGAAGCCTGAAGAGCGGCATTAAGGCATGATTGTTCATGTCCATAACTTTCGCAAATTATGGAGCACGATAAACCAATTTGACTAACTCTGTTTACTTTGTTTACAATTGACTGACTTTACTTATTTTCGTCAGATAAGTAGAAAATGGTCAAGTGCATATAGGTATATTCAATAATCAATATAAATCAAAGTAAGTCGTACTTGGAACAATTATATAAAATACGCTTAAATAGTGAATACAGTGAATAGTATCGTTATTTTATTTCCTGTCCGCATTAAATCTTAAAGAAGGTAAACTGGGTACATTGCTGCGATGATCACGATTCGACAGCATTGTCGTATTTGTTCCTACTCGCCACAACTTATATTTGAATTTGATTATATATTTTTTTATAAAAAAGTGCTTTATTCTCCTTGGCTAAAGATAGTGGGACAGTCGGTCGACAAGACCAGCCGTCGGACGTGATGAAATTATGAAGGTCGCTGGTAACAACAAAGTGTTAAAGGGGTTTCAATTCCATGGTAGATTACAGTGGACGATACACGACTATGAACACCGTTAGCTGCCGTTTTCTTTTATTATGTGATAAGTATTTTTTTTGCATATAGTATTTATGTAGGAGGTTTATTTATTAAGACTAGAACGGTCGGTAAGACGGTCACAGAACCGGAACACGGCGGTGACAGTATTGCATCTAAACGAACAATACACACGTTAGCGCGACGGTACGTGATCGTTCGCGATCAGTTGCTAGATTTAATCACATTAATTGACACAACCGTTAGCACATAATGACCACGTATTGTACAGGTAATTTGATAATATTTAAAGTATTGCCTGTGTTGCGTGCTGAAAAAATGCCTATATACATACATACATACATACGTATGTTACTGGCTCAGTATAGAAAATTGGCACAGCCAGTGCTCGAGGTATTGACTCATGATGCACCTTTGCGAACAATGCCATCAACGTTGCTAATATAATTTGCTCTCCGCTCTATAATCTAAGCCGCATTACACATAATAACCGAGCTTTTTTCGACGAATTAGACAATCTGCTCTAGGTAGATACACGAACGATCGATGACTGCATGAACTATGTTTCTTTAGTTTTTTGTATGCGCGAGGACTCTATGGATTGCGATCGTCGGCGAATCTTTTTTATCCTTCTTCGCATCAGGAATTATGTCTAGTACGTGAATTTGATTGCGAGCAAATGTTATGTCTTAGTATAACATAATGAGGCCGACAAACTGCGTGACTTTGAAAATATTAAATTATAAAACAACTAGTCATAATGACAGGTTGGGATTGGGATAGAGATGGCAAGTAATATGTAACGGTACAAATCAACCAAATTCCTACATGCATCGATCTGGTGGTAGTTAGTTATACAGCGGTCACGATTACTCGCCGAAGTGAAAACATTAGGTGTGTGAACCCATAATTTACAACAAATTTCGTAGACCATTGAACTTGCGAGTAATTTTGTAAGTGGCCAAAAGACGCTTAGCACTTAAAGTAACTAATTTTGGTAATATTATTAAAGTGTGAACACAGCGCCTTGCGGTCTGCTGATGACAGGCTCTTGATTACTGTCGAGGCCTACCGACTACGATAGCAGTAGAATCGTCACGATTCCCTTGTTTACTACCGCCATCGCCACTTTGTATTTACCTAAAATAACAAGTTGCTTCTTTTTAATTATTCTACTAGTATAACAAGGCTGGAACTCCGACGGCTTAAAGGAGCTGACCGCTATACGGAAGGTCTTGTCAAGTACATATAGGCATAATTGCCGGGCGCGGTATTATGAAGTGGTCGCAGAGTGCTGTTAATAGTACGCAAGTTGCTGTTACTTGTTCTCCTCGTTGGATTAGTTCCTTAGCTGCCCCAGACTACACCGCTGAAAGTTATGACGCCAGTTAAAAGTCGTGCGTGTGGTCTCTTGGTTGTACGTCTGACCACAGCATGCGCTTTTATATTGTATCGATATTACTGTCTCATTATTTTGCAACAACAAAGAGGAAGTGAGAATTGAAATTTATTGTAATCATAATAGTGAGAGCCGTGATGTTGGCTGACAGTTAGACGTTTAGATGTGGGTGCGGGGCGGGACTCCAGGGTCCGTAGTGCCGACGTCCAGCGGGAACAGTCCTCCACGAAAATTTATTTATCAAGTATCGGTTGGTACATCAGCGCCTAAGGACAAGCGGCTGGAAATTGCGGGCGGGCGAGGCGCGCCTGATGCGCTCGTCGATACGGGACACTGGTTACTTCCTAACATAAATTCGGTGCACGGGAATCGGATATTATTATTCAATCGTACGATCGAGGTTCGCGCGGGGGCCATAAGTCACGGCGACGCGAGCGCCGGCGGCTGCCGTGAGCGGTGGCGCACGACCGCGATGCCATCGCGTCTGCAAGCACCGCTAGGCGCGAGGCGCTATGTGCTCACCACCGCTGCGCTGCTGCGTCGCCCGCACCCACGCTGCACCTGCTGCCGCACACGCTTCCGATACGCATATCTATGTCATTGTGGCGATTAAGCAATTACTATCAAATTCTTACGGACTCATTTAATTGCTATCAATTTCAGAAAAAAACATACAGTGTGTCAAATAATTTTAACATTAAACATTTCGTGTTACTAAAGTCCTTATATAATTTTGATATATATTAAGAAATTCCTAAACGTCTGAAAATATATAAATTTAATAGCCAATCTGCTTGTTACATACTTAATTATCATTGCCTGTATTCCGCATATTATTCGAAGATTCTAAATTAAAATAATGCATATGATATATGGGTAATAAATCAAGGGGAATAGTGTAATAAAAGTGCACAAAAGTTAATTAAATAGTATACTGTAGGAAATATATAGTTTTTCGCAAGAAATGCTTGGATAAGAATTGTTATTATGATTGAAGTGTTCAGTTTACTGATGGAGCCCAGCTTCTTCATATAGATAGCGGCATGTTTTTACCAGATTCTATATGTTATTAAGGAAGAGGAAGCTGGTCATTAATCATTCATTCCATCGTATCTACTGCCTCTGGACTTAACATTCACACATATTTTTTTTCTATTAATACGGTGTTTATATGTAAATGCTTCGTTATTAATTACTTTATGTACAAAAAATGCCCAATAAGTCGTAGAGATGGGGCAAAAAATAGCTAACATAGGTCATTAAACCCAGAAGTAAACGCTGCATTATATTTTGATTTTAAAAGATTACTAGAAAAAATATAATGTTAGGTTGTAAAGCATGAAAATTATTATTAACGAATTATTCCCAAGCTGATGTGGGAATCGTAGAAAAACGTAATTGTCAGTCTTGGTAGCACAAGCTCTTATTGTGAGATTTAATTGAGGGAAAAGGATATGCGCTGCGTAAGCTACAATAACAGAACATTATAAGCGAGTATGGAATTCTTGTGCATTTCTCGAAGCGCAACCCGTGTTCCCCGTGCAGAGTCGTGTAAAGTTCAATCTCTCCCGGTAAGGCACAGAAGCAAGAACGATACCTTGTTCGTTTTGGATGCAACAGGTGTACTTATACGACCAAAAAGATATTTCATTCTTATAAACGACTGAGACTGAATGAAAAATGTTGGAGTTCTAAGCGAGAAAAATTGTAAGTGGGATTCGCATTGTTTTAAATGGCTTATGTCTGGTGTACATGAAATATTTTCTCGTTAGTCAGACGATCGCCGATATGATAGTTTGATGTTAGCTTAGATTTTTGGGTCAGTAAAATTTGAACTTTTAATAAAACTGGTCGTCAAATCCAGTTAAAAATATGTTTGTAGTGTATTCTGTAGTAGTCTACTACAGAATCTGCGCTTTTATTAGAAAATAACCAACTACTAAAATCCGCGTCGTACAATTTATAGTTTTTATAAATTTACAAGATTTTTATTACTTTTAATGTCACATAAAATAAAGTTGTAGCGTAAAAATATAAATATAATCTACGTTAATTCCAAGGATGTGTTTAGAACTACTAATGGACATGGGAAACTCTACTTTTTGTGATAATATGAAGTGACTTGACGAGTCGTCCGGTAGTCTGCCCGACATCGTCCAAGTCACTCATTGCATCACGCAATGCATATATTGCATGGCTTAGTTTAATATTAAAATATGCGCGGTGAGCTTTAGAATATTAAATTATTTACTACGCTGAAGGAATAAAATGTTAAATAAGAATTTTCTTCTTACCAAATGACGTTTTTATTAGATTATATTTTGTTTCTTCAGTTGAATGCATTATGTTAATATCACCAGCTTTTTTTAAAGCCACGGTCATCGATTTATAACTTCATTTTAATTCGTTTCATAGTAGCCATAGCCAATGCCTTGTAGGTAGAATTTTATTTCAAAAGCTCATGCCATAAGGTATATTTTACTCTATCAGAAACATGTTAGAATGATGAACGGACATGGTTAGGTACTTGGTGGTAATCATTTCATTTGTAGTGAAACTAACAACTGCCTGTTTGTTATTTAATTATTGAGTTAGGAATCCTTGACAATATGAAATGTTCACATGGGACTAATTTTATTTTTCTTTGGAAAAACTTTTTGTCAAGGGTATTTCATACAGCCAATTAGGTAGTTATCATAAGGTGTACTACTAAATAAAAAAAATGATTTCTACTCCACATACATATCTACACATGACACTTAGATCTGGAATACCTGTGTATCGCATAGATAGGAAGTTGTTGACAAATCAAACTCAAGAACTCAAGGACTCATTGCACAATCGATAACAATTACGCCACCAGTGAAGTATAAATTCAATAAACAATAATTGATAACATATACATACATATCTACATAGACTAATAAAAACTAGAAGAGCGCTCAGTGTGCGCACTACTGACATGTGTCACTTTTTGCATAAACTTCCTGAACATGGACGACACATGTGATTCTCCTGACGTATGAGTACGCACTTTTTATGGTGTATTGTAACGTTAGCCGGTAACCAACAAATACTCGATGTCAGTTCAAATTGTTGACGGCTGATGGTTGATGTGTAGACTGCTTTATTGGCGCTAACTTGGAAGGTTATCTGTGTTTGTCATCGTAATAGTTTATAGAGCTCTGTATTCTGTTGCAACAAAAAACATAACATGGCGTATATAATTTAAGAGTTGATAGCGGTTTTAAATTTGTGGGACAGTATTTATTGCACTCGGTAAGAAAAAAAGGCACCCACTTTGGAGGTGAAATCACTCGCATAAATTATTAAGAAAAATCGTCAATTTTCTTACTTAGGCGTCCTTGGTGAAGACTCGCACTTAACGATCGAGATAGTTAATGTAAAGTTTAAAAAACTAAAAGAAATATTCAATTTTATGTATTATAGTTTCCTTGGTCCGCAATATACAGTAGCTATTATTGTTATTAATTCAATGAATCACTTCTTCAGATCGATGCTTTTAGAGCAGTGCGAGTAACTTCCTAGTTCTCCTTGATAGATGGGAAAGTTGTAATATGACTTTTATATCTATCAACTGCCTTATCATAATGAGAAAAGTATGCAGTAGTTTCAATCTACTTTTTAAGTGCTCTTATTTATACTGATTAATGAAACGTTAGTCGGATGTTTGTAATAGTTTGATCTAAATTGAATAATTTGTTTTTAGAGGTATCCATACATCATTCTACTTAACGACGGAACTGCGTTGATTGGCCGGCTAGTCTTGTCATAATAGCCGGCAGTTAATTATTAAGCTTGTGAGAACCGATCTGCAACAATCGAACACTACGAGGCGTAGACATTGGTCAACAGTTGTTCCAACTTTATAACAAACTAGCAACCCGCCCCAGCTTCGCAAGAGTGCAAAGCCGATACAAAATTTCTTCACTATTTAATTTCTGTTATTATAATACATATAAACCTTCTTCTTCAATCACTCTATTAAAAACCGCTTTAAAATCCGTTCCAAAGTTTAAAAAATTTAAACTTACATACATATGAATATAGGGACAGAGAAAGTGACTTTGTTTTGACGATGTAGTGATTGACAGAGTTTGAAAGATTTTTGACAGGTATGTTAATTGATATGCTGCTTCGACAAGTCTGTCAATAATACTTTTTTTTAATAAGCTACCAAAACAATTTACCTGTTTTAACGGAACTAGAAATGTCAAAAATTTCTATCTAGCCATACTTTAATAGCTGCAATCATGTAGGTTCCAACTAGTCAAATTCAATACTTTTATTAAAACACTGCACGGTTGTTGCGGTGGCTGGGCAACAGGCTGCCGTGCAACAACTCTTCGATTCCCGCACGGAACAACTCTTTATGTGATCCACAAATTGTTGTTCCGGGTTTGGGTGTCATGTGTATGTGAAATTATATGTTTGTAACCGCACCCACGACACAGGAGACATTCCTAGTGTAGGGCAACGTTATAATTTGTTTTTACGACAAACAGCAGGTTATAAATTATTACTTTTTGGTAATTCTTTCTAAAAAAATTACCAAAAAATAATCGTAAATGTATAATATAATCAAATCAATTAATAAAAGTTTATATTTTAATAATTCGTCTCAATGAACCAATAAAATAAAAATACTGTTGAATAATAAAAAAGAAGATTCAATTTTATTTTATTAAAAATAAACTTCAAAAAGAAACAAGAATTACGGTACGAGGGGTTAGTTGTAGACATTTGTAAGTAATTAGGTACCGTTTGACTTAATTGATTGCCTGTATAAGGGGAAAGCCGCAAACTTTTTCTTTGCCCATGTTTCTATTATTGCCTTACAAGACACGAGCAATAAATACTAGTCGTAAAGACATACTGTTACTAATATAACCTGAATCTAATCTTCTACTTACTAATTGTAATTAATTAATTTAAATTAATACACGTACCTACATTTCATTCTAAAAAAATAAACAAGAATTTTAAACTAGTGTACTTTATTTATTTTATCGTGTTTTAACTATCTTTAATGTGAACATTTCTATTTAATTGAGGGCTTTGAGAAAGATGTCTATTAAGAAAACAAATATGCTGTTAACGGTCTTTAAATCTGTAGAAGATAACCTGGTTATTTCGCTCAAGGAAATGTTGGTACAATGATAGATTCGCGCGACGCATCCAGAGAACAACGTCATTACCAGTTTACACAAGATAATTATAGAGACGTAGATAAATCTAGGAGCATAAATAACTTAATGTACAGGATTATGTTCGAAGTTTATCACCGTTGCTTTATTTTAATAACCATTAAAACATAAAAAAATCTAATATCTCATTTCCTCAGAACGAATTTTGGCGTTAAAATTTTAATTGCGATCATTATGAATAAATTACCAGGATAAACAACGTTGATGTGTATATGGTGTCAGAATTAAAGGGATAACAATATAATTGCGTGGGAGATGCTTTGGCACGAATGGGTCGGCTCGACCGGAGTGATACCCACGGCCCCACAGAAAACCGGCGTGAAACAACCACAGCGTTGTGTTTCGTCGTGTACCTAAGTGAGGTTACCGGAGGCCCAATCCTTCC